ATCTGTTCTTTCACATTGTCAACTTATTTGTTTTGTTTTTGCTATAAGGCATGTGCACTCACCAGAGACAGAAAGAGAAGGAAAGTGAGAAATCACCCTCCAGGGCAGCTGGTCACAGTGCAATCCCCTCTCCTCCATTCTCTTCTTGGGATTTTGGACATGCACACACACACACCTGGCATGATTTTCAACCCACTGGGTCCAGGACTCAAACCACACAGTTGGCCATGTGGGATCCAGCACCTTACCTCCAAGCCACCTGCTGATGCATGTCTTCTTTTTCTATTAGAAACTTTATTATATTGATCATAGTTATTTTCTCTGTCAGATCATTCAAACATCTGTCCCATATACAAGTTTGAGTCTTGCTGCCTCTCATCAGACTGTGCTTTTTCTTGACTTTGGACATGCGTTATCATTTTCTTTGTGGAAAGTGGATAAGAACTAACGTTTGCTGTAAATACAGGTGCCACAGGATCCTACTGTCGCTGTTGTCCTTGTTTTTTCTCTTCTGTTAACTTTGGGCTTCCTTAGGTACTCTTCTTCAAAGAGAGCCTGCATCTTCCAGTCCTTTCCGTTGTAATCCTCTGCTCTTCTGCTGGCGCACTCTGGGTATACTGCTAAGGTGAGGGGGAAGGCAAGTGTGCAGATCTCATGAGCACACTCAGTGTTCCATGGGCTGTGACCTTCACATATGACTCTCCAGTGGTGTACTTTTTTTCCTCCCAACAGCTGGGACAGCTCTGGCAACATTTTTTCTCTTCCAGATAGGTCTTTATTGTGTCAACTCCCTAGAGCATTTCACAAGGATTACTTTTCCCCTCTCCGTGCCAGAGCCACAAGGGATTCTTGGATCTTCACAGTAAGAATCTGGTGTGAAAGTGCCCAGAAGTGTGGGAGCTCCCTAAGACTGTGACACCTGGGAGCTTCTCACTCTCCTGCCTGTCCACACTCAGCCTTCAGCATTTCTTTCAAGTTGTTAGGTAAGTTCTCTTAACTGGATTACGGCACCAGCAGTTTCTGCTCCAGGCAAACAGCTCAACCCCAACGCTCAGAGTTCACCTGGCTCTGCAGAAGTTCGGCCTGGGAGTTTGCCCTGAACATGTGTTCTCTGATGGGTCCAAGAAAAATGATTGATTTTCAGTTCGTTTAGCTTCTTCTTGTCACAAAAGTGACAACATTCAAGCTCTTCAAATGTAAGAGCTGACACTGGGAGTCTGATTTTCAAGTTCTTCTTCAATTGCTAATTCTTCCCATTCCATAAACTATCTGCATTTATCCATCAACTACGCGTCAGCTTCATGTGTTTAATGCACCTTGGAAGGATATATACTGGGTTGTCAGAAGAGTCATGAGGTTATTTTTCTGTTTCTCTATGCAAAAATGCATCATGACTTTCCCACAATCCAACACAAGTTCTTCTCTCTTGGCATGGAACAAAATTGTCCTCAGAAATGGAGGTTTTGGAGATTTTCTTCCCTTTTATTATTTTTTTTAATTTGCCAGAGGGCATGTGCACTTACTGAACAGAAACAAAGGGAGAGAGAAAGTGAGAAAGCACCCGCTATGGGCAAGTGCCACATCACATTCCTTCTCTGCCATCTCTCCCTTCTGTCAGGATTAGGGGCACACGTATACATGCACTTAGCATGTTTCTCAAGACACCGGGCCCAGCACTTGAACCTCATGGTAAGCCATGTGAGATCCAGCCACCTTAACCACCAGGCCCAAGGTTTTCTTAAAAGCAAGCAAAAGCTGGGTCTAGAGATCAGGCGTGACCATAAACAGAGAACTCAGCCCTGGAAGCCAAAGAAAGAGAGACATTGTCCTTTATAAAATCTTTTTCTAAGCTGAAGGTATTCACATAGCTGATTTATGAGAGTACAAGTGGAAGCAGGGACAGAGGTTGGATTTCTTCAAGTATATTCCTCGTGCTCTTATATGCTGTCCTCACCGCGCTGATTCAGAGCTAAGGGTGTGTCTTCCAAATGCTTAGGGCATGTTCCCGTCAGACCTCATTATATGCCAAGGCAGTCAACATCCCCTGCAAAGTAGTGGTGTCTGAGAACAAGTTATCATTCTGAAATAATAAAGGCTATTCATTTTATTGACATTTAAAATGCATGAGGACATTTATGACCAAACTCGTATATTTCTAACCAAGAATATGTGGCATTAATTATTAATACTGCTTCTAGGGAAGGATATGTTTATAACATGAATCAGATCTCTCATTTAAATCAAGGATGTTTGCATGTGGTGGGCGATTATTCTGTCAGTTAACTTGGTCGGGCCTCTGATGACATCTTTCTGGATCCATCAGCTTCCTTCTCCATGGGTTATATATCATTAATATTCAATAGTACAATATATTCTATACCGTGCTAGTAGAAAGTTGTGCTTAATACTGTAAAATATTACAATGTAGGCATTACTTGACAAGAATTGAGTCAGACTCCATTTGAAAACAGATATGATTCCTAGTAACAGAGAAAGAACATAACTTGTGGTCACTATTCCCTCAAATAAGATAAAACGAATGGGAAAAAAAATGACTGATCAAGTCACTAACTGACTAGCTGGCATGCCTACTAAGCAAATATAATTAATAATTAATATAACAATAGAATGAAATTTTCAGCTCTACACTGGAAAAACAAACCAACCAACCTTTGGCTCCTTCTCTGTTCAGAACAGCTTTTAATTGGATATTTCTGTGGAGAACCAGAGAATCCCTATAATGGCTTCACAAAATAAATTCATTCTTAGAGTCCTCTATGTATTAAACATTTTTTTTCTCTATGAAGAGAGCATGTGAGTAAAGAAACTGCTAAGTCCATCTATTCCAAAATTCTCCATTGTTAGAGTATGATTGATTACTGAACTATTAACCCTAAGAACCAGAGCTTTACATGTTTAACATTTTTTAAAAGGGGCTTTAAAGCATTACTTCACTTCATGAGAATAAACTCAGGAGAGAATGAATTTGAAGATGTTAGAATGGGCTAAGAGTATAAATTTTCCCTATCATATATTTTTTAAGTTCTTGTCCCAATGCTTCCACTTACTAATTATGTGTCCTAGACCCAGTCTCTGAACTCTCGGAGATGCATCAGAGAAAATCTATTTCCTCAACTGTAAAATGGATTTTACAGTGTCTCCCACACGGGCGTGGTGAGGATAACATGAGGTAATGTGTAACGAAGAGTTCATGTAATGCCCAGCACAAAGCAAGCTATTTTAGTGCTCAACCATCTCTTTTTCTCTTTCTCTCTTGTTAATTCAACGAATAAAATAGATTTTCCACTTAATATTTAAGAAAATGGTATAAAATTCCCCCTTGGAGACTGCATATATTTAGAAATGCTCAGGTGCATAATTATTTTGCTTAGTGTTTTGGAGAATACGGTCAACAGTAGACACAGTTCCAGCTTTGGGATTATAGCTATCACATGGGAAGAAGCACAAACACACGTTTTGTCAGTGGAAATAGGAACTACAATGATTGCAAAACAGAGGAGTGGCTGAGAATGTACAGAACTGTGTTGATGATTTGGAGGATCACCTGGCTGGCCTCATATCAATGTTTACTGTAGGACAACTTTGTTCTAATTAAAACTGTCATTTGAAAGAGAGAAGGGAAGTGATAAAGCAGAGGGAAGCCGTTATCCAGACCAAACATGTGGGTTGACCGTGAATACCAAGAGCAAGAGGAACACAGTTCTTAAACTGGGCAACCACACCCCTACCCAGGTACTCAAGACCCTCAGTCCGCCTAACCATTACCCAGAATTCTCAAAAGTCACTAACTGAGTCTTCCCTGAGCCAAAAGTTATCCATGTTATAAGATTTGTTATTTTCCTTACTTCTCGCCACTCTGTCAAAATGAATCTGTCCTGTATTCAAGTACTACAGTCTTGTCTTCTCCATTTTTGAGACATTAACAAACTAGGCTTATCTGATACAATATTTACTAATATGAGTCTAGTGTATTTATAAAGTACAAGTCCATGATGAGGATGACTATGTATACATGAGTGACTTAATAATTACACACTGTACATATATTGTGAAAAGCCATATGTATGCTGCAAAAAATAACATTTTTTTAAAAAATTAAAGTAAAAATCCAAATCATCAATAAAGCAGTACTAAGAATTACATTAATTTTTTAGAGTTACTACAGAATCCAGTAATCCGGATAAACTCAGTTTGTAAACAAAAAATAAAAATTAAATATAAATGGCTTTCCTTTCCAAATAACTAACATACACTTGATAATAAAGATGACAAGATAATTACACATATATTTATTGAAGACATTCTGAATTTAATTGACACCATACTGAATTTAATTGAAGTATAATCTGCAATTCTAGAAACACTTCAATAACAAACAAACAAACAAACAAAAAACTGGGAAAAACAACCTCCCTTTGGAGATGGTTTATGATAATTTACAAGATGAAAAACCCAAATTTCAGGTGGCATAAAACAGTCAAGTAAAAATAAAATAAAATAAAATAAAATAAAAAAGCTCCTTGAATGTTCGGGCTGCTTCAGAAACACAAATAGGGATTAATTTCTATGTTCAAACATCATATTTGAAATTATCTACAGCCATTATTACAAAGTCCCAGTATCCCAAGACATGACAGTATGCTTGAAAATAGTTCCAACAATGTCTTAGTCAATAAAACTGAAAAGCACAAGACTGAGGCATCAAAATGTCAGAAAATAAAATTGCACATATACGCACACATGTGTGCACACACAAACTTTGTGTACATTTTTCTCTATGAAAATGTTATTTAAATAAATACTTTGCTAGAAGATACATGCTTTCACCAGTGAAAGACAGAAAGATAGAGAGGAAAAGTGAGAAAACATCATTATTTAAATAAATATTTTGCTAGAAGATATATGCTTTCACCAGTGAAAGACAGAGAAAGATAGAGAGGAAAAGTGAGAAAACATCTTCCAGGGGGGACAGTCATGCTGTAATCCCTTCCACTTCATCTCTTCCTTTGGAACTCGGCACATATGTCCACGTGCCTGGCAAGATTTTCAAGCCACCAGGTCCAGCACTTGAACTACAGCACTTGAACTACACAGTTGGCCATGTGGGATCCAGCTGCCTCAACCACCATGCCGTTGTTCCAAAAATATTCTTCTATTAGAATTCTTACCTTTAAAAGATAGGTACAAACCTCATTGAATTTAGTCTTCAGGCTACACATCAAGCAGCTTTTTGTAAACTAAGTTTAAAAATATAGTATTTATTATATGAGAAGTGATCACACAGAGAAATCAAATTCAAACAAGAGACTCATAATTCCGAGGCAGTAAATATTTTTGCTCTCTAAAGGATAGCTGAAGACTTCCAGGTTTTTATAGAACCATATATCCATTTTATACCCCAGATTTAGAAAGTGTGATCTGAGATTTCTGATAAGGATGTATGAAGAGCTGACAGAAGCCACACTTGATGCCACTGCTAAATTGAAGATCATCATTCTCTTGCCTTTGAAGGATGGAAACGAAGCAATATCTATCTCAACCTGTATCTTCTGTGAGTCAAACCAATGTCATGTATCCAACTATGTAACACATTTCAGGAAACGACAGTCTTGCTGCTGGAGGCTAAGCCGTTGTGACTATATTTCTGGCTGGAGAGGGTTGGTTTATTTTGTAAAGCCATTTACTCTTGCCAGATTCTGCCGTCCTGCAGTCTGATATAAACTACACGTTCTGAAATTGGTAATGGGAAATAAGACTTGGTTGTGGGCCCCCTGCATATCAAAAGTCTTGTGTATATGTGTATCCTTTGACCCAGGAATTTTGCTCCTGTAAAGATAATGGAAATAATTATTTTAATAAACATAAAATTATGTGGATCTTCATTTCAGAATGATTTTCAAAAATACACAGAAAAGTCATCCTCAAAGTATTCAAAAATGAAAGTAAAATGTTCCCCAGATGTGTGATAAATAAAAGACTACTTTGCAATCTCAATAAAAGTGATATTCTAAACATATTTATTCACATGGAGAATATTCACATAATAGTCACATGAGAAAGAGAAACAAAATGTAGGTTCAATATGATCCCATTTTTTCTTGAAAAAATATGTAAATATATACATTGAAAAATAGTCATTTTGCTGGAAATTAGAATTATAATTAAATTTGATTTTCTCTTTTTCTTTTCCTATGTCTTCTAACTTTATGCAATTACTATCAATTACTCGTATAATTTTTTAAAAATCCAAGTGTCTAAATTAGTGCTAACAGAAAAAGAAAAATTAATGTGCAAAATAGAGAAATTTTCTTCTTGTTCTCTCTTCTGTAGCTTAAAATATCCAACACAGAGAAACCCACAATAAGCACATTAGAATTAAAATAATCCACAATAAGAACTAAACAAATAAAGGTAAAATTATGTCACCTCTGACCCATTTAAATTAGTGTAAATGTATAGTTTATCATTTTTTTAAATCACTAGGTTGAGAGGAAAGATTAAACATGTTCACATCTGACTTTCTTGCTAAATTTCTGGGGGGGGTGTCTTCTTTTTTGGAGAGGTTTTTTTTTTTTTTTTTTTCGCTATAGGGGGGGGGCGCTCGCCAGACAGACAGAGAGAGACATAGAGACAGAAAGCGAGAAATCCCCCCCCGGGGGAATGGTCATGCCGCAATCCCTTCTCCTCCATTCTCTCTCAGGATCTTGGGCACGCACGCACACGCGCCTGGCATGAGTTTTA